ATATATATATGTAGGCATAAATTATATTTTTTCTACAAACATATCTAGTCCTGGCTGAGATTTCTAAATTGCCTAAAATGTACAGGTTTTGGCTTTGATTTCCATTTGACATGCTCTCTATAGCCCTCATACGTACTTGCACACCATGATTGAGCAACTATGTACAATACCTGCATGATATTGCTCAAATAGCTTTTCAGTCTTTACATTCAGCAAGTATGAAAACAATAAGAAAACATAGCCAAAACCCAGACAATTTAGGTAGTTTATAAATCCCGGCTGAAATATGTCCTGGCCAGATTCTGCATCCAGTTAGATTGCTTGCTCAACATTTAAATTATCTGTTGAGACCCTCCACCTCCCCCAGCACCGCTTGTCTATATCTGCTAAGGGATTTATGTATGCCTATTCAAGCCGCAGGATGTCTTACATGCTCAATGCAGAGTGTATGTGTATTTATTGCAGTTGCAGCCGTGGCGTGTGTAGCAGATCTACTCAGCTAAGACCAAATAACATTAAAATTGTCATATTCATTAACATGCTATGTTCTTACCTTGTCACTCAGGGTTGGATCATTGAGAGAGTAAAGCTTGTTGGTGATGTCTTTGCCAATGAGGTACCTGAACACCTCGTTCAGAAAAGACTCGGACTCCAGGAAGTAAGTCAGACGCTCTCTAGACCAGCATAGGAGCTTGCAGTTTTCCTCAGCAGTGATTGTCACCTGTATATCCATGTGCATGTGACAGATAAATATAAATGCTGTATATTAGTCTACTCTTCCACAAAATGACCAGAAGTTGACATTGTCTTTCTTGAGATGGCTCCCCTCATACGAATCAAACAAACATACAACTGTTAAAGCACTATTTTCACCACATACAGCAATCTGGAGGATTGTCCTATCTTGTCCTATAATCCAGAGTTAAAGTTTGATTTGTCAAATGAACAGCAGCACAGAAAGCTGACACTTTTTGACAAAGTAAAATATTATTATTATTATTATTATTATTATTATTATTATTATTATTATTATTATTATTATTATTATTATTATTATTATTATTATTATTATTATTATTATTATTATTATTATTATTATTATTATTATTATTATTATTATTATTATTATTATTATTATTATTATTATTATTATTATTATTATTATTATTATT